CAATATCAGCAAGCTGTAAACTGTGAGCTGCAAGTAGGGGCTCGTGTTCCTAAAATAGCTCCAATGCTTACTGGAATAACCCTAGCCACCTAAACGGCTTTTATGGAGTCAGTACGTCCCTGCTGAGGAGTACAGCAAACAAAGAGGGTGTACGGTATCGACTGTAAACTATTTCAATGTTCTGTTGGCTTTGCTGTAGGTAATAATGCAATGAGAGCAAATAATGGAAGCTAATAACGTGGAAAAAATAATGGGAACCTATTATGGATAAATTTAATTGCACATTTCATGTTTTGCTTTTTTGTAATCAGTCCTTCAAGTCAAACACTAAAATGCATTCATTAAACACTATTTTCCCACAGAACTCAGTAACTTGTTAGTGGCCCTTAAAATATTAATACCATTACCCAGGTTGTTCGCAGTCCAGTATGGATCAGCATTTGGCAGTCTGGTCAAGCTGTGATTGCTTCAATTAATGAACTCAGTGGACTGGCAGTGGGAAGCAGAATGCACCCCATAGCTGCAGGCTGATCGCTGCATTATTCACCAGGCCTGTAGCAACTAAGTTAAATCATGCTCAGGAGCAGTGTCTCCTTAACTGCATATTAACTGTTCAGGCTTGGACACTATGGCCTTGTCCATGCCTATGCTTTTGTGGTCATTTGAAGAGTTCCTTGCCCCTAAGCAAGGAAAATCTTGTCTAGCAGAGCAGGAGTGTTTAGGTGAGAGGCACATTATTATATAAAACATACTCTGGTTTAGATAGCTTTTGTCTAAATTGATGCCAAACAGGAACTGAAAGTACAGATAACAATATTCATTAAATGTTTAATCCAGAAAATATCCAATAAAAGTAAATCTCAAGCTGTATTAGAAGGACTTCTTTTTTTTCTTTCAATGTACTTCATCAATGGGCTTACAGAACCAGAATCCTTATCTGTCTGCTGTCTGTCCACTGTGTGGGCATATCATGCCCTGTATCATTCTGGGATTTCAGGCACTTTTATAAAGGTTATATGTATTACATAGCTAAAGCTATTTTTGACATTTAATTTAAGAACATCTCTGGGAGTAGCTAAGTTCTTATGCAGTCGATGGAAAAAGGGAGCTGCCTCTATAAAGGGTATCTGACTTGGATGACTAAAATGACCAGAGGTTCCTGATGTGATACTACCTGTTAAAAGCTCACTGCTTGTCCAAATGATATCGCTCTTGTCTACAACTTCTGTAGACCCCTTTTCTCCCTATTTTGTGTAGACCCCTCTTCTCCCTGTTTTGTCACTTACTTGTTCTTTTGCTTCTAGAGTTCTGGTGTATGAAAATCTCATGTTTATCTTGTGACAGATAACGCTTTATTTTGCCTTCAGCTTGTTTTCATACAATCTATTTCATACTGGTTTTGTTAATATTGCTGTACTTAAGACATATACTATCTCCCTAGGGCATTGGCTGTATCTACTTTCCAAGTAATATTGTGCTATAATCCTACTGAATTGTAATTATATCCTCCAATCAAAATTCACAACACTGTACAGTTGTTGCATTGTAAACTGCATTTTTCATTTTTCCTTATGAAACTTTTGGCAAGGAAACTGTCAGCCTGTAATCAGCCGGCCTGCATGGGTTTACAGGCGGGGTGTGAAGAGGGAGAAAGCGTACTCTTATCTGCTGTGAGGCCGTTGCAGGAAGTGCTTCCGTGGCCCCTCTGTGCTCCTCCCCATCTAGACAATCCTCTTGATGGTAGGCATATAAATAGTTTAATAATTACTAAAAGATTTAATAAGGATGTAACCACTTTGTTCTACTCTCAGCTCACCAACGACGTCTTCAAATTTCTTCAAAGTCAGGTGGAGTCACCTTTTATGAAAGTGTGTTTTTGTCAGAAGCAGATATTTCAGTTCCAAAAGGTAGTAGTTTCTTTTATTTTCCCAGTAGTTTCTTTTTGCCTTGCATGTTTTGCAGGCAGTCAGACTATGTACAGTTGACTGTTCTCTCCTGGTCTTAAACTCTGATTTTAAAATGCTCCAAATTAAATTATCATTATCTTTTTTCATTAAGAGATAGAAATGTTTAGTTAAACTGAATGGTCCCCTGGCATTTCTAAGGCCCTATGTGTACATGCAGTCATGAAGATTTACAAAGAGCCAAGGCAGCCACACAGAGATGGCAGATGCTTTATTAAGAGGTGAATTGTAGCACAGAAAGAGAACAGAAAGCTGGGCTGGGGTTTTCTTCAGCAACACCGACTGGCCTGCGTTCATTTCCAAAGAGTTCTCCATGTAAAATTAATCTGCAAGAATATTAGCATATGAATATTACAGCTTATGAACCAATACTCTTGTTGAATAACTTTCCATAACTAATGCCGACACACTGAATGGTTTTCGATACTCCTATAAAAAAACCTGCTTCTGAAATGTGATTTTATCAAATAGTTGGTATATTACTAGATCAATGAAGTCAGTTACATATTCCAAACATAATGGTATGTAAATTAAACTAAAAGTTAATTTTACATTTTCCCTGAGCAACAAAGTGACGTCCTGATGGATTTTCATTTTAATTTTCTTGGTAGATCATATTATATTTTCTTTCCCCTGTTACTTCCCGTAAACAGTATAATTTCATATTGCTGACAGCATATATACTAAATACCACAGTGAACCAGGGAGAATTGTATTATTCTGTATATACTGACAAATCTCTTTGGTTAATGTGCATTCAATAAAGTTAAAATAGCAAATGTTATTAAACTAGGGGAAAAGCACAATGAATGTTATTAATGTTCTTTGACAGTGTTATGCATGTGCCGCGTTTTTTTCTTTCCTTTGAAAACAATAGTTTTTTTGAAATAAGTAAGAAAAAAGCCTACTGAATGAAAGTGCAATAGCAATAAAGATATTTGTTTCAGCACAGTCTCAAATTATAAGAGAGCCTATTTCTTTTTGGGGGACAGTGGAGAGAGGGCATTAAATGCTGTTCTCCATTTCCAATTAAACAGCAGCATTAAAGATAAAATAAAAGTTTAAGAATCAGTATTTTTTCCTTCCTCAGCCAGATGTCCCCCCATATTTTTGAAGTCATATACCCATAGGAAGAATTTAAAAAATGACCACCTGCTTATTTTACCTCCATTTCACAGAACTGAAATATTGTCCTTCATAAGGAGTTATGTAACAAACCAAAATTGAAAAACCACTTCAGGGAGCCTTTAGCTAAAGCTCTCTTAGTCCCCATTGCCTCACAGGAGTGTCAATCAGTATGGAAAGTGCCCATCCCCTTGTCACTGAATGGTTTGTGTTTGAGAAGCCTCAGCCAGGTGTTTAGTTTTCACTCGTGCTGTAGTTGTGTTATCATGTCAATGCTGTCAAACTCATTGACTGATCCTTCCAGCCCCAACTTCCATAGGCCTGGAGGTATCCCAAAACAGTGGTTATCTGCCTTTGGAGGAGCATCATGAGATTGTGCTTGTGGTGCCCATAAGAGCTAATGAGCCAAATGGCATCTCTGTGGGCTTTGTTGAGAAAGAGTGTTAACTGGGATTATTGCCTTCGGTACAGCAGTCTTTCTGCCCTATCTGTTGCTCAGAGCTGCCTCTTCCCTTTCTCAACTCTAAGCCTGCCTTTCCCAACTCTTCCAGCTGTAACCAGTGACCCTGGGTTGTTTATAGCCATTGAGCTGGGCCCTGGTGTTGGTGTTCGTTGCTGTTACTCCCGCTTCAACTCCACCTCATGGCAGAATTTTGTGCCAAGCCATTAGCTGCATGGCAGGCCCTGGTCTCAGGACAGCCTTGGTGAGCATATGGCTTGATGGAGGAAGAGTGGCTGTCCCTTTGCTGGTGTCCCCTTTCTGGCAAAGGACATGCTGCTGTGCTGGACAGGGCTGTCTCCTGCCATGATGCAGTATGTGTCTGTCCCTTCAAACCCCCTGCATTTCAACCATGATTGGTTTTATCATTAGCACTGCCTCACATTTTTACCAACTGAATCACTGCTACAGCAGCATAATATATAATAATGTGTAGTTCCAAGTACCAGGGCTTCTCGTTTAAAGCTTAACTCAGTTTTAAATCCCTTTGGAAAGGGAAAGCCTTTAAAATACTTAATAAATTCTAATCTTAATCATATTCATCATTATTAAAATTTGAAATAGGTTGAAATACTTAAGGTAAGTGAAATGAAAAAACTAATAAAGGGCATGAAACACACTGGAGAAATGGAAGAATAATTGCTAAAGATTAGGAAATCTAAAATGACCAAACATGAGAAAGCCTTCATTTCCAATAAGCATTTATTTAAAAGTTTTGCAATAGCTTAATAATATAAAAGGAGATTTTAAAAATGAATTGAATGTTAAGTGCAGCAGAGTGGCAAGAAATATTTAAATCTATCAAAACTTAAACTAGTCCTGTCTGTTGGTTTCATGCATGATTTAAGCCTTGTCAGTTCTTGAGAGAGTTGATTCATTTGTCCTCAAGGAGACAACACTACTGTTGTTGTTATTAATAATAATTATTACCATAGTGGTAATCATAGTTTTCATAATTAGTGCCTAGGACTAAAAAAATACTATGGCTGAAGACAATAGATCACTTAGTCTTATAGAGGCAGAACAACAAGATTTTTTTTCTTCCAATGAATGTGTAATCTAAACATGAAAGGAAGGACCTCTTAAAATATTTTGGTTTCAATTAAAAGTTCTAAAGGTGCAATTGAAATGTCAGGCTCTATTGTATCCTTTTTTTCTTTAATGTTAATGAATAAAATGTGCCTTTCTTGACTATTGGAATGTATTTGAGAAACAGTTTTTTAGAGCTGTAGAGACCTCTAAGCCTCAGGCAGAGAAATGTCATACCCCAGGAAGTTTAGGGAAATTGACTTTTTGAGTGGTGTACTTTGCTAGGGGTGTTTGGATGATGCCCTTCAAAATGTATTCTGTGAGAGAAATTGGAATTAAATATTTAAAAAAAAATGAATCTATTAATTTTATTTTTATTTTAGGAATTACCTACCTTGACCATGCTGGTTCAGCACTTTTCCCAGAGAGTTTACTTAAAGCTTTTACTGATGACCTCAGAAATAATGTTTATGGTAAGTGCAAAACAGGGTTCCCATCAGTCTTCTCAAGTTTCCATCTAAATAGATCAAAACCGTGCCTCTTGAATTGTTGGAAGAGTACTTCTGTGGGTATTTTAATGCTGCTACAGAGCACTTGGAAGACCAGTGATTCTGTAAAGAAGTCATAGTTCCTTTACATTACCCTTGGCTTTGCTCTTTGGTGGTCAAGGACGTGTCTGTATTGGTGAATAAGAAAAATCAAAGGGAGCATAACTCGGCTGCCCAGGGGTTAGGGGACCCTGCTGGGGTAAACAAATACAACGTAGCTCTGAGAACTCTTTGTTCAGTCTTTTTTTTTTTCTCCCCCCACAGAAAATGCAACAAAACTAATTTCTTATGAAAGGACCAGAATCCAGAACCACCCTCTTCTCAATGAGAGTCATCACAGGGAGCTTATACTGTGGCTTAGTACAGAAGGAAGCTTAGCTAAAAGATGCCAAGTGAATTGGTGCAGGGAATAGGTGCTATACCTCTCCCAGACTATTAGACTGATGTGCATAATCACAAAAAGGATGTGTATTGCCAAAGCAATCTTGTACTTTAAAAAGTGAGCAAAAATATCTACAGAATTGTGTAGTATCTTGGTATAGATTTAGCTATTGCAGCTGTGAATGTGGACACTTTAGCACCATCTATAAGTACTTTGTCCCTAGATCCTCTACTTAAACCTTTCATCTCTTTCTAACATTATTATCTAGCTTTTGCAAAGAAAGGTTGGACCAGATGATCCTTGTGGTCCCATCCAGCCTGGTATTCTGAGTCTATGAGCTAAGAACCACACACTGAATGTGCTTTCATACAAAGGCAGCAGCATCCATTGTTTAGGAAATACTGTTACTATATGAAACAAGTTACATTAGAGTGATACATGCTGAACCAGAAAAAATATATGCTGTTCAGTATTATCTATATATTCTGTTACTAGTCCTACTGAAGAAATCAAGATTTCTTACTGTGTTACTATCTATGGGCTATGTGTCTTTTTTGCTAGTTTTGTGTCTATCTTGTGCTTCCTGATACCCGGAGCAAAGGGTTTCTTCACTTAGAAACTAGATACAACTGTTTTAAAAGAAAACTGTTGACTGAAGCACTGGCACACTTGAGCTTATCACCTGGGCAAGCCACTTAATACTTCTGGGTAGTTTTAATTTTCAGTGTGCCATTGTACTTGTCATTTCCCTCTCTTTTGTTTCCTGAATGCTGGGAAGGCCAGGATCCAGAATGTGGATCTGTTCCACTATGAAATAGATGTTCTTGATAGGAATAGGTTTTTTTGCTGTTACAAGATACGTTGATTCGATTACATTCAAAATCTTCTATTCGAGTACATGTCAGTGCTATTAAAATTAATGTTCTGTCACTACAGTCATTGTAATGTGAAATGTACGCATTCTGATTCTAGTTATTTCAAACAACATTGGGCTCAACCCTTACGATAAGTAAGTGCAATCTGTGGCAGAAAAATAAATTAATTTGTGAATCAATTGAGTGCTTGTAAAAAGGAATAGTAGTGCTGCCAGTTCAGAGCAGATTTGCATAGTACCTATAATGCTATGGGAGAACAAACTATAATTTCTAATACTGCATTCATCTAAAATGATAATATGAGCTCTAGTATGGTCAAATCTCTTTTTTTTTTTTTCAGTTATATCTCTGATATGCTGAGGATAGTAAAGAGTTAATTTAAAAGACGCAGATGTGAGTGAGGGGGGTTTGACTTCCAGCTCTTTTTATTTTTTATTATTCTTGGTGCTAATCCACAGGCTTGAAGAACTGCAGTTTAGCTGTTGCATGTGCAAATGAGGGAAAATAATGCAAGTAAGAGAGATTCTCACTTCTAAATTGAGAATATTTGAATTGGAAATTACAGAAATGCAACATCAGACATGAAAAGTCTAAGTATTAGTTTTGGGTTTGAGCTCTAAATTTATTATTCTTTTCAACACCTTCACTCAATAACTTTCAGCAAGGTGATTTTGAAATTTTCAAGAGTAGCTAATATTGTAGCCTACTGATGAAACTATATTAATATAGCTTTTTTTTTTTCTTGTTGTTTTTCCAAACTTTTTAGGCATGTTCTTTGAGCATTTACTAATAGGAAAGTGTGCTGTGCCTGTGTCGATATTACTGTAATCTTTTCTGCTCAAGAAGATAAATTCACACTGTTCTTATGTGCTGTCTTAATTATTAATACGTGCTTGTGCTGAGCTGTGCTAAAGTGGCTACTAATTTTGCAATAAACTTATATTTCCATGAGCTATTTAAATTTCAGACACTAAAAACACCAGGGTTAATCCTGGTGTCCAACCAGGAATATCTATTATCTCCAGATGCTGTCTCTTCTAAATTGCTTCTTAGCTAGTGTGCAAAATATATTTGTGAATGTGTATTCTGTCTGTATTTTTTCCTTGTATGTTTGTGCATACGCAATTGTGTTGTTTTTTTTTAAGGGAACTATCTAAGTATTAGTAGCTGAATTTTCAAGGTCTGTCATAATTGCTTTCTTCTGTTATATGTCCTTTCTCTTGACTAACCACTCAAAGCAGCTTCAGGGCATTGCTGTGAAGTATGTGTTAAATCTTTCTTTGTCATCTTTTCAGGCTGGCTTGGTGTAATACTTTCATGAAAGAAAAAATTAATAGCAAAAATGTGATTAATGATTAACTTCCATATCTTTGTTGTCTCCTAGGCAACCCTCATAGTCAGAATATCAGCAGCAAGCTGACGCATGACACAATCGAGCATGTCCGATACAGGTAGAATAATCTTTCTTTCAGATGTTGCACGATGCACTTCATAGTTTTCTTTTTGATTAGCCTGTGCTGTTTTGATGACTTTAATGAGATGTCATTTTCTGGGGGTCATCTATCACATCTAAACAAAACACCTCACTTATTAAGCACAAGGTACTTGTACAATCAAGTGTTGGACAGTCAGTTCTTTTTCTCCCAGATGCCCCAGTTCTCAAAGTTGTGGAGTTAAATTAGTGCTGTAATATAAGTCTACGGTTTTAATTAAGATATAGAAGTTGCAGTCTCCAAAGTGATTATTGGTAAGATGCTGTGGTAAGATAGTAAGATGGAACAAAATACAAGGGCATAGTTAAAATTCAGATGAAATTAAATAAGTTAAAATGGCTTGTGAGAATTTATAAAAAGCTTATGGGAATGTGTACATTGTTTAACAGGCAGGTACTTCTGTTGGAGTAATAAAATACCTGTTAATGTAATGTTAGTGTGATTTTTAAGAGCAAAAACAAAAAAGGTAAAATTGAGTGTTGGGGCTTCTGTGTTTGGCAAGCAGGAGAACTGTATCTCTAAATAAGGTATTCCCCTGAAAGTTTGGGATAGAGTATGCTGAAAGTACAGTTCTTGCCATTAGACACCATGAAGAAATATACAACTTAGGTACTTTGTTATTGGTTTTAGGGGGTTGTTTTAACTAACTTGCTATTTTATAAAATATGTCTTTATTGAAGGACATGCGTGATTTTAGTTTGTTTGCCTGCTTTTAATGTCACTCTTTGTGCATAAAAGAAGTGTCATGGATTCCTCTTTGTTTTGTCATCTTTCTTAAAAGCAAAGATTTCTCCAAAACACATTACAGAATTCAGATAAGTAGTGATGGAACTATAGCATTGTAATGTTTATTGTTGTAATGAAGAAAATGTGTCAAACACCTTTCTGCTGCTTTTTATCTGACTACGTTTTTATGAGGGTGTGAAAAAAAAACGAGATTTCTAGCTGGAAGATGCTTCTGGCTATAACCTGTTTTCACCTTCCCACCCGCACCCCCTTCCAATTTTCTCGAGAACTATTTATTTTTGCTTCTTCTGCAGCCCTCTCAATATGCTTTGCAGGCTGACAACCTATTAATGTAGGGCCAAATGAAATGAGACTACCTATAAGGAAGAGCTGTTTCCAAAAGCAGACACTTATAGCCAGGTACAGCAATCCCTGCAGCCCTGCAGAGTCTCCTGAGCCTACCTGTGTGCTCACATGCAATGTTAGCATTCTGGTTTTCATTTACTCTCAGTGGTATTTCAGTGTTGCCATTTCATCATTCTTCTTATGAAGGCACAGTAGAAAGTGTAGCTGTTTCTAGACTAACTACTATTATACTCTGTTCTTCATTTTTAGGGAGTAAGGAAATAGACTTTCACCATGTAACAGATTACTCTAAAAGGGCTGACATCTTCAGCTTGTTTTATATTGGATCCTGCTCTAGAAAAGATTAGGACTTCTATAAGACAAGGATGCAAGATGATAAGAATCAAACCAGAGGGTTTTTTTTTTTGGTTGTTTGTTTTTTGTTGTTTGTTTTTTTCTTTTTAGGGAGAAAAGCCCCCTGCATCCAAATGAACACCTTTAGTATTGCACATAAAAGAATTTGTCACCTATCCCTATAGAAATTCAGTAATTATTCCTCAATAAAAATTTTAAAAGCATAGTCATCAAAAAGTCATGCTCATAAAAATTCAGGAAGAAAATGCCCCAAAACTAGTCAGTAAGTCAGCTACCTAAAAGGCAATAAAAGTATATTAAAAATCTATATTTCCATGCTGTTGGAGCTAATCAAAATGAGCAATACGGCAAGAGAGGGAGACAGACATATCTGTCCTGCTTCACAGTGCATAGACTGGATTTCCTTAGTGAAAGAATAATTTAGTGGCTAGTTTCAGAAATCTTCAAACAAATAGCTTTCATATAAATCTGCTTCTGGCACATGGCTGCAGCCAGAAATATGGCTTTTTCCAGTGTTTGACTCCAACATCATATGGCTTTTTTTTTTAAATAAGAATTAATTTGATTTTCTGATGAGATGACACAAGCAACTAATTAAAAACAAACACAAAGCTTAATTTCTGATTTATATTAGTCAATATTGGTGATAGTAGCATCAGAATAGACTTTTTAGTCTGGCAGTGTACACTGTTCCACAGTACAAAGCTGTATGATTCGGTTTTGCCTTAATATTTGTTTGGTAGACAGAATTGACTCTTAGAACATGGATTTGCAAGAAAAGAACATAAACGATTAAACATTTGAGTCAATGGATGTTTTCTATCACTTAGGAAATTACAATAATCAAAACATCTTACCTCTTGCTCAGCTGAAGTACAATAAGAGTAAAATAACTATTTTATTCTTAAAAACATTGCTTCTCTTTACTTGAAATGACCTGCAGAGGTATTTTTAACATTGTGTGTATCTCTACTTAAGCATGAGTGATTCTGAGAAGAGGAAGCAAGAACTGTAGCAAACCTTACTAAAAAATATTAAATGTATGCACCAAAAGTTTATAGATCCTTTTTATGACTTTGCTTACAGATGTATGGAAATGCCACTGCTCCACTTCCATAGAGCTAAAGAACAGAGTTGTAGTACCTCCTTATGATGCTGCAGATAATGCAACTCAAGAATTCTTTACACTGAATATTAAATAACCCTTTTCCCATACGGAAGCATTTTAAAATACTAGCTTTCTGCATATTTTAAAACGTTGTCCTTGTAGATTTTACAGTATCAAATTATGTAGCAGCGTCTTCTAGCCAGAGCCAGACTGAAGTTTTAGTGTTGTTTTATGTTTGTGGTGCGTTTAAGATATACAAGAGGGCATTTTTCATTTAGACACAGTTTTTTTGAATTTAATAGAGTTTTAATGTCCATCCTTGAACTGTTAGGTACTGTGATATGCTAAACTTAAGCATACTTTGCGAGTTCAAATATATATTAAAAAAGAACCCACAAAATTTCAACTAAGATTTCACTGCCAGTCATGTAGTCTGTGGCAATATGTATCATAGAATATTATAGAATTTTCTCATTGAAGCCAAAAGGATTTGGCATTGACCTAAATGGGATCAAGTTTAAATATGGAACCAAAACATATATTTCTATAAATGCCTCTCTCAAAATATGCCATCTAAGTGAACTGTAAGAGGAGAAGAATCTCTGTAGCCTTTGCATACAAATGAAAAAAGGTGCAGTGGGCATATACAAAATGAATGTAAATGTTTTAGTATTTTAAAAAGTATTTGCTTCTGTGGTAAAACACATAGGTGATACTGGATTTTGCTAAGGAAGCAGTCTTATAAATTCTGTTTGCAATTTCATTTACTTTGTATTTGTAGAGAACATTTCATGATAGCAGGGTAAAGCTTTACATTTCCTCTGTAAGCATCCTACATTGCTTATGAAATAAGTTTCCATTCCAAGTCTAATATTTTTTTTATTATAACATATTCTGAAATGGTGCTATGCACAAGATAAGATTTTATTTTCTTTTATTCCCAGTTTTAAGCAGTTCTGCGTCTGAAAATAGTAACATTAAAACTGGTACATACATGAAAATTGGTTGACCTTTCCTACACAGGAAGAAATAGTAGATACAGTGTCTGCTTAGTATTGATTTGTCCTTTGCAAAGGTCATCAACGGGAGACCATACAGATGAGTGACATCTGAGTGCTGCATCCTGTCCTCCTTAATGGTACCTATCAACTCGAAAACCTTGTTTCAAGACTGGGATGGTTCAGCCCTTTTGCATTCTTGTTTTACAGTACCATTTACAAATGATGTTTTCCTCATCCTGCTGCTCAGCAGGGCAAGTCTAAAATACCACAGTCAGTGAAGTCTAGCAAAAGGAGTCAGTGCTCACCAGGGTGGTGGCTTATTCTGTACGTGGCACATGGGAGAATCATTAGAGGTTAATTATGAATAATGGATAGTTTTTTTGGAAGAGCTTGATGATAGGCAAGAGGGATAAACTTTTTCCTCATGGTTCATGAAATGATTTTATGTCGGTGTACAATGAAACAATACCAGTGTGCCCACAGTGAGCTGGCTGATACGGCAACTCCATGCTCTGTTATGCACTGCACAGCAACAGAACAATGGCTTTAGTGCAGGTGCTTCTTGTTTTCTCCTTGGCCACACCTATCCTGTTCTGCAGCTGTAGGAACCTTCTTTTTTTTTTGTCTCCTTCTTAGCAGTAAAAGAAAAAAAGCTAGTCAGGTGAATAGTAAACTTGAAGACAAAATTCTCCATTTTATAGACAGTTGTTTTGAGGAGTCAATCCATTAATTTGGGTTGGTTTATTCTTTGCAATCCTATGCAAGGTAGTAAAAAGCTTCTGGACAGGGTAACAGGGACTGTTATTTTTTAATTAATTAGGAGACTGGTTTAAGGACCAATGAAATCAGTCTGTTTTATTTTTGAACTTTACTCCTGGACTTTTATCTCTGTTTTACTAAACTCATTAACATGATAAACTAAAGCTTTAGAAAGGAATTTGTTAATACCGTTACTCTTCCAGTAGTCAGTTTTATACCTTCACAGTTTGTATGAAGAGACTGCAGTAAATAAAAGTTGTGTATTGTGGTCATGCTCTTTGAGTAATCTCTGTTGCAAAGAAAGCCAAATCTGGAATGCTCCATTTAATGAAAGAAATAAATATTTCAGTAAAATAAATTAAAAACTGGAGGTCAGGATTGCTACTTTATAATCACAAAGGATTAAATGCTTCTGGGCAGTTCTGAGTTTAATTTGTATGGGTGCTTAGAGGGTGTTTTGCAGAGTTCTGAAAAACAGTGAATACAACCTTTAATTATTTTCCTTCCCAACTCAGGAAAAAACCTCAGGAATCTGCTTTTATAATGTGGCTGTGACAAAGAAGCAATGGAGAATAAGTTTAAAAGCAATCTTGCTGTGCCATTGCTCTCTAAATAGCATTCAGAGTAGGGAGAGTGGTGCAGGC